TTCCCCAACCCACTTACGTGTCCTCCTTAATTTAAACTGCCATTTCAGTTGTCACTGAATGTAACCCACTGTCATGGAGCTTGAAGAAATCAATTCTTTCTTCCGTGAAAAGGCAAAATCAGTTTTACTGTTCCTCTAAATGTATAATATTTTAAACGATTATGAATTTTATAAAATAACTCCTTTGACTAGAGGTTAGACCTTATTGCTAATCTTCATTTACAGTCCTGACATACGGGAAAGTACTTACTGTAGGGAATGTCAAACTTGGCAATACTAATTACCCCACACTATTTTTTGTTCAAAATAAGAGTTACATAACTTTAAGGTGGAAAGAATACATGCTGACCTAAGTGAATGACTAATGCTTTGGTCCCGAAATATGTGGGATGGAATCTTGTCCCACTGAGAGTGCTGGCAGTGGGCTCAGCATTCACGTATGAAATGTAAGCTTAGGCGGTAACTTGCACTAAGATGCATATAGTACAGCAAGCTAAGGACCACATATGTCACTGGGTAAAGTTATGTGTCACACTTAGACCATATTAAAACTGAGGAATGTTAAGCTGTGTTAAGTTAAAATATTCTGTGAGCAGGCATATGTTTAGCGCCAATACCGTTTCTCCCCTGAACAGCCCTAACTTGCCACTAGAGGGCTAGTGAGCAGGGATATGGCTAAGAGCCAGGACACCAGGGCTCTAATCCTGCCCTGCGTTGGATGGGGAAGAAAGGGGGAGGCTGAGCACAGTGCATCCTGAGATGCTGGAGAACTGCAAAGTACTCGTTTTATCTCCGTGGAGCACCCTGATGTTACCTTAAACACAACTAGGTAGCACTGTCCAGAGTTGACTTTCACCTGAAGTGGCATAACTCTGAGACACTCAGGGGGAAACTTGTCATGAATGAACAAGCTTTAACATGTGGATGCTCCATTTTAAATGCCCTTAGTATGATCTAAGTGTAACGTGTAACTTTTACCTTATATTTATATTTATTTTCTTTTTGGTGCATGACTAGTAACAGAGCTATTTGTATTCATTTCATTTTTAATTTTCTTGAGCAATGATTTTTTTCACGTTTGGGCTTGTTAATTTGATACAACTGTAGCAACATCAAGATTGTACATTACTGAGATCAGTGTTTAATGAAGGTGATCCAAGGTATGTAAACACTGGCCACCTCCAGAGTCTATGCTTACAGCTTTGTAATCGACTTTGCTGCCATTTTACCACCCAACTGTGAGACTCAGGAAATAGAGTACTTTATAAACTGAGATACTATTAATAATGCAAATGAGACTATTTTAGTGTACTGGGTATTAAAGAGCTTTTCCAACATTTAAATATGCATATGCTTGCAAATCTCTGCATCTTAATATGAGTGCTTTTAGTTGCTATAAGCTTACTTCACCATCTATAAAAGAATTTCTGTTAATGTATCTCTCATTTTCCCTTTTATGTACCTTCTCAAGCACAGAGCACATGCTAATAAGTTATCTGTATATGTACAGGCGTGACATCAGTTTGGAGAGGTAGTGGGAAACTAACCATTACAGAGAGCTAATGGTAAGCAGGGACTTACCGTGCATCAACAGCTCTGTGGTTTTTTTGTTCCTGCTCTAACCTGCAGTTTGTGAAAGCTAATTTGGAAAGCTTAGTCTTGTTCCACTAATGACAAAGCTGCTCCAGTTTAATTTTTATTTACACAGGGAGAAAGTGGTTACATGGATTGTTACCATGGACCTACTGATGCACAGTAAGTTCCTGCCATTTTTTAGGTCAATGTAACTTGCTCTTTTGTCCATACTTTATGTATCTTTATCAAACTGCAGCTTCCATTTGTTGTGTGAGTATATTTTTATTGTCTGACTACTACTCCTACAGTGTTGTTTTTCTCCCGTATCCTTGCTGGAAATTCTAGGAAGATATTAGGAGAAATTCTTGTACCTAATAGAAGATTAACACTGCAGAGCAATCAATCACTAATCTGCTGGCCGTACATTGAAATGACAGTGAAGTAAAACAATAAAGTAGTTGCTGCCCAAGGAAATGGTTCAAGGAGGTGAGCTTGTAACCAAGCAACAGTTCACCTCCTATGGCACTTGTCACTGAGGGAGTCACCTAAAAAGCAAGGGAATCAGAACCTTATAAAAAGAGGCCGTCCAACCAGCAGCGGAGCCTTTGTTCTTAGAGCTATACCTATGCTGGCAGAGATTTGGCATGAGGCTTATGCTATAAAGCAGCGATTCTTCACTATGGTGCTGAGGTACCCTGGAATCCCATCAGATTAACTGAATAGTGCAATGGCTTGCAGGGAGGTAAGCACAGGCTCATCCATTCAGGAAAGGCACAATAAGACCATTACAGAAATAAATCATGTTATAACTCACTCCGTATTTCAGGATAGACTTACTTTGTGCTTTTGTAACACCTAATAAAAATCTGTTGTTCTTGTGTCATTATGCACAGTCTACAAACTGCTTTCATATAAGTAAAAAAAGCAGAAGCATTGTTTTATTTATGCTTTTGGGTTATTTTTTCCTGCTTTGACGGGAGTGATAATTTGAAGTTTGCCACAAATTTATATAATATACCTTAATCATCAAAGGACATATTTTTCTAGGCTACATTACATCTTGTCAATACTTTTTCTAAATAAACGTTACTCTGCATTTCTTGCTTTCCCAGGGATTACACCTTACTAAGAAACAGTAGTTCTTTAAAATAAAAATGCAAAACAAAACCCTATATTGGATTTGTTTGGCTATCTTTGGTTACGATAAGTGGGGGGTGGTTAATATCTAGTAGATAAATATTTATCACTCTCTTCCTTTCACAGTTTGATAAGGAGGAAATTAAATTCCCTTGTATATTATAAACTAAAGGCTTTGTATATTAACATTTACTTTAAACAGAGTAAAACATGTAAGTAAACCTTTGTTTCTCAGCAACCTTTTAGACTTTGAGAGTGGGAAATCCCTTCTCCTTGCCTCTGGGCATGACAGGAACCAGATCAGCAGTGCTGACATTTTTCCTCTGCAATGGAGGGGCGGAATGATAGGGTTAGGAAGGGGCCATAAATTAGAATATCAGATTCGTCCAGTATCAGTGAACACTGAACAGTGATCCTCAGTAGCTCATGCCACAATGGTGTGAGAGGTGAGCCTTGGGGAAGGTACAAGTCTGAACACTGCATTCCTAACCAGTGCCCAAACCAGCCCACGTAGGCAGAGGAAAGGCAAGGGTAGTGGTGCCTACAGCCATCTTATTAGGTTATAGCAGCTATTATTTTGGTGTCCCATGAACTGGAAAGAGAAGGAAGAATTTGCTTCTACTTGTATCTTGGTCAAAACCCTTTTCACAGGCTTTGCATGGCAGTGTTTAGATTTGTTCCATGTTGGACAAAGGACTGCCTTTCAGCCTCTAGTATTTTGTGATGTGCTAGTTGCAGGAAACTACCCTTCTGAATATCTTTGATTGTCACTTAAGGTTTAATTTTCAGCACTGTTTAAAACACAATGTGCTGTTTTCTGGTGCATACTTCATGGCCAGCGCGTTTTTGTAAATTAGAGTAACATTTTTTAACAAAGCTGTGATTGCATTTGGTTATTTTGTGACTGTAGTTTTGCTAGCTTCGATGTGATTACTGCTTTATTATCTTAATGTGACATCATTGGCCATCTGGCTGATTTGAAATGGGAAGAAGACTAATCCTGTGGTGTAATGAATTAAATGTGGAACAGAATATCCACTGAGATTTTGAGGGGTTTGTTTAAAAAAAAATGAGAGTGCTCTTCCTCTGTGTTTGCAATTAGTTCATTTGCTTTTAGAAAATGTGGCTTTAATCACTTGCATTCATTGTTTTGACTTTATGCATTACAAAGTAATGGAAAAATATAAGTTTATCTTGGTTCCTTTGTTTTCTGTGAAGTTATTAAAGTTACTAATGTGTAGTTTCTCAAAGCCAGTGTTCAGTTGCTTTTTGCTTGTGTTGAAAGCAAACTTTCAGATCTGTTTGTAATCCTTAGTTCTTTTGGGTGGGGAAACTTTTTTTTTAAAGGAGGTTGACAGTTAGTCATTTCTCTCCAGCACGGATGTGTGTATGTGTGGCTGTGTTCCATGTTTCTTTTTGCACAACCAAGTTCTCTTTGTTTTCCTTTTTTTTAATATAATGTTAACATTAGTACTGCACAGGGAGCACTAATCATTCTTTTTTTGAAAATTATATATAAAGTTGTGACACAGAATAAATGCATTCCTTCTAACAGACTTAGGTTCATAATTCAAAGGCCAAAATTTATGTGCCAGGTCTATTGCAGCATTAAACTATTAAACTCCACTGCAGAGTATACCCTAGACCCTGTCTTTCTCATTCAGCTGTCATTGTTAAATTTAGAATTGCCCCACATTTGTCATGCTTTCCAAAGCTTTGCATCTGCTCAAACAGCTGATTGTATTTAAGGTTCTAAAGTTCAACTCTGTCTGTTCCATTATTAAAGTTTGATATATAGCAAAAGTATATCCAAGTGTTTTTCAGTGCTGGAACTACTTGAAGGCTTTTTATACAAATCTAACTGATCATTTTCAATTAATGTAAAGATAATGACGATCCATGCCAGAATTTGGTTAAAGTCTTCTTTAAAGTTGAAAACAGTGTGCTCAGTTCTAACTCAGGCCATAGCATGTGTTCTGTAGACACCTAAATAAAGAAATAACTATGGAACCTATTTTCTTTAATCTTTAGGAATGAGTTTGTTCCAGATTTGCTTCTCCTCTACACAAACCATGAGGCAGTTCTGATAGTGACCCCACCAAGGAAGCCATTCATCTGCCACTGCCTCAGAAAATGTGTCAGAGTCCATTCATTCTTAGATAAATCATAAAACAGAGATGGTGGTTTTATGGTAACTCACATACACCCTAGGAAAGTGGAGGCTGATGAAAAATTGTTCAAGACAATAGGATGTTTCAGACTAAGCAGTATTTAATTTTATGTTGTAGGGCTTTGTCCCAAGAGAACTCTACGCTTAGTGCTGTGGACAGGGGAGGAGCAAGGAGGAGTGGGTGCTGAGCAGTACTATCAGTTACACAAGGTAAAAAAGGCTGGACAATAATCCACTTTGTAGCATGTGTTTCCTTTCCTTTTTGATAAGAATATTTAGTTTTCAAAATGTTAAACTGTACATCTAAATGGATAGGACCCAGTTCTGCATGCAGTTCTACAAAGTACAGCCCCATATCGGAATTTGTGAAGTATTCCTTACAATACAATCTTTGACATTTTCTCCCTCTTACATTAGCAAATCAATAGAAGCAAATTGTCATCGACTGACTTGTACATCCTAGGGGGAGGGGAAGGAGGAGAGCTTAAGATTGAAAATGAAATGACATTATGAGATTTGTATGTACTTTGCTTGACTTATCAGGCCCTTTCCCAAAACTGTTCTGAAGTAAGTATTTCATACGGATGACTTCCTTGGGGCAGTTAGCTATTTTTGGGTGTGGTAAGCAGTCCATACATTTTGGTCCTATTAATTCATTTTATGTGTCTGTTATCATTTCTCCTTAATTATCTTTTCTGATAATTGATTGCAACATGATAAATAATTAACTAAAGAAAATTTCTTTAGCGTCACAGATTACATATGAATAGTTTGTGATACAAAATATATTCTGCCAGTTATTAACTTTATGGGGTCAAGGATGTTTTGAATACTGTCACTAGTGATTTTTTGATTATGCTAAGCAAAATTTATAATCATATTTTTTTCTAAGCAATTAGGATGATAATGTCACACAAGTTTGTTTCCATATTTTCTGCATACAGTTGTCTCTTCAAAGTAATGAATGATAAGAAGAATTGGTTTATAAAACTATCTTGGAGCCAGTAGTCTTAAAAATATAAACATTTTGCAGGAAGCTAATCCTATATTTAACAAACCTTGATTTTTATCTTTTCTTTTGTGCTCCCTTATTTAGTAATGCTTAATCTTAAAAACAGGCAAAATCTGCAGTGGAAAGACCAGAAATTGATAAAGAAAAGGTTTTGAAGTTTCACTCGTAGAGTAATATAAAACTTTGTGGAGTTGTAGAGTAATAGAAAGCAGGTGCTTTGGAAAAGAATTTCATAGCAAAATGGGAGTAAGTTTCTAATGCTTTCTAACTTAAAAGAGTCAGAACTGAACGGTTATTTTTGAGAAGGGGAAAAAATTAAAAATCACCATGGCAAAGAAAATAAATTAAATAAACCCATAGTGTGAATCTACAATAGAACAGATTGAGTTAACGTCATAATGAGGTCATTGTTATGCGATATAAAAAAAGCAGTGAGTGGTACCTAGAAAGAGTGGACTGGAATGACCTTCTGGGCCATTACATTCAAACTCCTACATTTAAAGGCAACCAACCCCCATTTGCACCCAAAAAGGGTTCACAAGAATGTCTTCTTTCTCTTTTTGCTTATTGCAGTCCTAAAGCACCTTATAAAAAAAAAAAGAACAAACAAACAAACAAACAAAACCCTTCAATGTGCCTCAGGTACACATCAGTGGAAACAAGGGTATTACCAGCACCTTGATTCTGGGATGAAAGGAAATTAGGTTAAAATATGTTCAGATAATCTTAAAAGAGGATCATGTCCTACATTACAAAGAAGGCAATCAGATTCAGGGAAAAATCCCTTCCTGACCATGAATCTGGCAATCCATGTGACCCAACATGCACAAGTTAGATCCACCAGTCAGGTACCTGAGAGGGTAAGAGCACTGGCACATCGCAACTACTCTTCTAGGGCAGCCAGTGTCCAGTGCTTTAGAGGACGGGCGGGGAAGAAAAGTCAGCTCAGCACCACACATACAAGCCTGAAACCAATAATGCATTCATGGTCCCTACAGACAACCAAGACAAGCCCTAAGTATTGGGTTTTGAAACACCTCCCACACAGAGATTAAGTTGTTTTTCCTCATGAGGTTACCAAATGCCCATATAATATGCTCATATTGTTATACTAAGTATACCCCTATCTTACCATATTATACTTTCCATGAGCTTATCAACTAATTACAGATGGTCAAAAAGACCAAGGCTTTACAGTCTAATCTGCATAGATAGAATTGATAAGCAGGTGAACAGACATTCAATTTTGATTCCAGAAATGCAGCCACATGCCTAGAGTGGCCCAGACCAGAAGCCAGGGAGTGCTACAGTACACCATCCTGCTTGGCCGGAGCAGATAGCTTGGGGCAAGGCTAGCCCGCTCACTGTCCAAGGAGGGGTTTGTAGGGAAAATGCAAAGCATCCTGGGATGCTGGGGGACTGTGAGTATAATTTAAGTCTGAAGGGGATCTGGGACAGAAGTTCAATAAATTTATTTAACCTAAATTAATTAAGTCTGATACTATATTCATTCAGGTTTATCTTAAACTGGTTTCAGTCATTTTGAAAGTGATTTATGTGCACTGAACTTCTGCTGTGTTACAGATTTGAACCAGTTTCCAATCACTTGTACTGGTTTATATGTCATTTTTTCCCTATCAAGTGTCATCTTTTAAGCAGTTTAGGTTCCTTTCCCCCTCCTTTGAAGAAATCCATAACTTCAGCCCCCTGATTGCTAGAAACCCTCTTTGGATTTATAGTCTGAATGTTTTTGGAGACAACAGTTTTTTTATGCTTTTTCTAACCTCCTTGTTTACTGAAGGTCTGTAAAACACGAATCCATGTGCCTCCCCTTTTATTAAGGCATTTTAGTTCTCATGGTTGGTAGGTGTGTCAAAGACAATCCTTTCACAGGGTTTTGGGGATTTCACATTGGAGGTATAGTGTCCCTTAAAACATTAAACCAATTTCTGACGCTGTGGGATTCAAAAAGGTTAAATTGTTGCACTCCGGAATTTTCTGTAAATCTTTTAGAGAAATGTACCTGTACAGGAGATGGGGAAACACAGCAGACACTTTGTTTTATAGGTTAGACTGCTGATAAGTCATACTTTAGCAAAGCAGATGTTGAATCCTGTGTTTTAAACACAATATAACTTAATATGAATCTGGCAGGCAAGGTTCTTTGAGTAGCTGTGATATATTTTATTAGACCAACTGAGTAGTTGGAAAAAAGTTTCTGGGCAAGATTTTGACTACAGTCACCCTTCGTCTGGCATAGGGAGTCCCTTCTGGTCTGAGACTCAAATAAATGAGAGAAGCTAAAAGTGTGGCAGGATGTCAGTGAAAATGTACATAGGGAGAAATTAGAAAGACAAAAGGTAAAGCAGGTAAGTGGGGGGAGGTGGGGAAGGCCAAAGGGAGACAACAGTGATAGAATTCAAGATAGAAAAGAGGCTGTTTGTGAAAAAGGAAATAGTTGGAGACCAGGAAAACAGGAATGAGAGAAGCGAAAAGTGTGACAGGATGTCAGTGAAAATATAAATAGGTAGAAATTAGAAAAACAAAAGGTAAAAGAGGGAAGGGAGGGGGAAGAAAGTGGGGGGGAGGTCAAAGGGAAACACTGCAGTGTCAATAATACAAGGTAAAAGAGGCTCTCGGTGAAAAAGGAAAGAGTTGGAAATCAGGAAAACAAGAGAAGGCTGAGGGGGGATCTAGTGGCCGTTTACAAACTAGTCAGAGGGGACCAGCAGGCATTGGGGGAGTCTAGAAATAATGGTCACAAGCTGGCAGAGGGTAGATTCAAGCTAGATATCAGGAGGTATTACTTCAGGGTGGCTAGAATCTGGAACCAACTTCCAAGAGAAGTGTTGCTGGCTCCTACCCTGGGGGGACTTTAAGAGGAGGCTAGATGAACACCTTGCCGGGGTTGTTTGACCCCAGTACTCTTTCTTGCCATGGCAGGGGGTCGGACTTGATGATGTGCTTAGGTTGCTTCTGACCCTACCAACTATGAAACTATAAGGGGAGGGGAGGGGAGGG